AATTTCGATTTATAGTGTTTTTACTTATTTTTTGACAAAATACGCAAATATGCAAGTTAAATTATGAAACAAATAAAAGTATGTACCACGTTGATACGCTCTTTAAATTTAAAGAATAAAAACAATTATAACACGCAGCCATGTTTTTAAAAGCATTAAAACAGCTATTTTTTATTATTTCTCTTCCCTATTTGCTTCATTCACAAATGCTATTCAAATCTAGAAAGCGAATTAATAGGAAAGCCAATGATAAAAACCAATTAACAGTTAAAATTTTAGTCTCAAAATTTGTGAAAGTCCTATAAGAGGTGCTACAAAATAATTAATTCTTACATCTTTCACCTTAATGTTAACTTTATTTATTATCATTTTTTCGCATTAACGATCCGAGCTTTTGAAATTTTTCCGTTACGGCAGCATAGTAAGTGTTTGGAAGTTTTATCCATTACAGTAGGGTGCAGCAACTTCGAGTACACGGTTCAATATTTTGCTCAACAAAGATATTTGAGCAAAATATTGTGTATCTAGATTCAAGTAAGGATTGCTTAAATTAAAAATGGACAAGTTGAATTATAAGAATACTTTTATTTGAAATTAAAAGAAATAGAAATGAACTTTGAAACACAGATCACATAGTTTCGACATTTAAATGGATATGTATCTCCTGTAATTCTCTCTTAAGGGTCCTAGAGATCTAAAAGTCATAAGGGTGACAAATCTTGGCTGTTTGACGGGTGTTCCAATACTATTAGTATAATTATTAGTAATAATTCAGGATTCTCTTCTTGTCTTGATTTTTTTAAATTTGTTTTCGATGTTTTAAATTAGCCGTGGTTGGTATTTAAATCTACATAATATAAATATAAAAATATATTAGATCGGATTTAAAAAAAAGGACTTACCTCCTCCAAGAACATCTATTTGGACATAAAAATTATATTGTACTTTTACAAAATTTAGTTTTATAGTTACAAATATACCGTTGTAATTTAATGTTTGTTTTCTTTCCTATAACGAAAAATGTTTGATAATAATAATAAAAAAATGAATTTTCTTTTATTGTAGCAGTTATAGAAATTGTTTATAAAACTAATTTAAAATTAAAAATATCTCCTTTTCAAGCTTGTTATTAAGTAATAAGAAAATGAAATCAAGAATAATTGCAAAAACTAGCATAATAGTTACTCATAAATTTGCAAAATAGTACACAAATCAAGTAAAAGTAGGAAATTAATATTTATCTTCTTTCTTTTCTTTTTTTTTAAATCTCGAAAGTAACAATATCTCTGTTTTTACATGATTTGTTTTTTTGTTAAACGTATATTTTAATAAATGTTCTAAAACTACTCTTATAATATAAAGAAATGTAAATACTTACTGTTGCCTAATGTCTCAACTAAAATAAGACAAAAAAAATATGTTTAGTTTATTATTATAAAATCTATACCAAAAATAAAATTTGTAAAATATACTGAAAACTAAATCAAATTTTAATTTTTTTCTAATTATTTGTTAATATTTAGTAAAAAAACTGTTTTTCTAAATTTTTTCTAAATAGAAATTGCAAAATTTATAATGTAAGAATGAAAAACTTTGCATAATTTTTCAAAGGAAGAAACAAAACTTACCTCCTCCAGCAAGACCTGATAGAAATTTTCCAATTATATATAAATTTTATTTATTTGTTCAGTTAAACATATTGCTCAGAATTCCTGCTTATTTCAGTCATGTTACTTACTAAATTATTCTTTAATAACGATTTTCTGTCTTTCTTTTTGAGGGGGGGGATTAATTTTGTAAATGAAGTAACATGTTATATTGCTTTTCATTTATGAATTTTTAAGATTTGTGCCGCAGTTATATGAAGTTATTTTCTTAAAATTTCTTAAAAAGAGCTTTTTGTTAAGTTCTAAGCAAATACTTCTAATATTTTTTAAAATACCCTAGAGAAAGCGAATCATATACTATAAATAGTTTGGTCTAATAGTTTACGTCCCACTCGAGTTATTCTAATGGTTTATTGATTACTGCTAGAGATTCTTCTTTAATGATGCTTCCAAGTCATCACAGATGGATGCACATACTACTTTATACAAATTGGAAGGGATGATAAATGGTGCTTATATTTCATGGACTAACACATAGCAACATAAATTATTGTTCACTGAAATTTCATGTTTAACAAACAAAATAAAAAGTAGCACGTAACAATTATTCTTAATTGCTTTAAGTTTCTTCCCGAAAAAACTTTTTTCTATGATAGTATAAAATTGCAAAAATTATTTTACACTAAAAATCTGAAATTTTGAAGTAAGCAAATATTTTGCCTATAGATCTAAATATAATGATTTTGTCTGATTTAAATATATAGCTACAATGCATTATATTTTAATTGAAATTGCTTTATAAATGTATTAAACTAAAAGTTACTTTGTACGTTCCTTTATTCATAACTTATAAAGAAATGAGGTACAAAAAAGACGAGAATTTTTCATTTCAAATTATTTGAATCTAAAAAAGAATTAGGTACTAAAATAATAGTTTTTAACATTAACAACTTTTGTCTGAACCAGAATTTTAGAATTTAGCAATAAATTAAAATCGGGTTAAAATGTAATAAATGTTATGTTTTGTACTTACCACCTGTGAAGCAACAAAAACTGTTTATGAACCATATATTATGCCAGTTTAAAAAAGTGCATACCCACTTACAAACTTTTAAAATAATTTCTTAGAAAAAAAATGCAAGTTAAAATTTTTTTATTCTAAATTATTTTATGCTAAAAATTAATAATATTTGCAAAATATGTCGTTGAAAAATTTTAAGGTGTTTTTGAGGTTTATATGAGGTTGTTGCTGGGATTCATTTAATGTTTATTTGAAGTTGAGTTAAGAAAAATCAACCTCCCAAAGTTCATATGATTGAAGATGTATCAAGATGTACTGAAGATGTTTTATTCCCACTTGAGGATGTAAGAAATCCACCTTAGAGCAATTAGCTTAGAAAGATTGTTTTTGAGGTGTATTGGTTATTTTTCTACACTTCGAGAAAAAATATATATTTGAAGTGTGAATAGTTTTACCTGATTTCAACTGAATTTATATCTGAGGAATATGAATTTATTTTATGTGGTGTAAATGAGGTAGAAATTGAGGTTTATCGTTGAGATTATTTTTGGTATGAATCGAAATCTCCTTATTAACCAAAGTCGCTTTTTTTTACAATTGTCAACCTTCAAAAACTCTCAAAACACCATACTTTCTTGTAAACTGCAAAAATATTTCAAAAAATATACTAATTATTACTGATGAGCATTCTATATTTTTGTATTTATTACAACTATGAAATATGTGAAGTATCTCAAAGGTGATGAAAAAACTTTTTTTTTTCATATATGCTCAAAAAAAATTAAGTAACTGCATTAAAATACTTTCTATTATTCTTCAGAACATGGAATAGAAACGTTTCTTTGTTAACTAAAAGGTGCATGATTTTATTTAAATCTTCCAGTATAATAAGTATTTTTTTAAGAAATTATTTAACGTGTTTGGAAAATTATATTTCATTAAATATGCATAAATAATTATGCTTTTTGATGATTTTTTTGCACTTACCTAGGAGTCCAGCTATAAAAGGAAACATTATATTCATTATCTATGTGATGTTATACTTGCATTAAAATTAAATAATGAATTTCGAAAAAATAAGATTTAATAAGTTAATTTTTCTGATTTATTTTTATATTTAAATGGTTAGATTAATGTTCGCTTAAGATTAAAGTGATTGCCTTATTCGAAATGTTTGTATAAATAATGAATAATGAAATGCTTGATAATTCCCTTTTCCATTAGATTTTTTTATAAAATTTGTTAACTAAATGTAATTCGCCGAATATATGATAGTTAAGGTATTTTAATGTTTTTTCTTCTAACTGCATGTCCTTTTTCTCTATACCTTATTAAACTATATCATCATGCAAAAGTTGAAACGTGTTCTCCATCGAAACTCAAAATTTGGGAAAATTAATAGCATACGAGTTGCGTATACGAAATATAAAATTTGGTATGTTGTTAATTGCGCTCTAAGGCTTGCTGGCCTAAGTAGTAACTCTCATAAATTATGTCACAAGTGTCATTCCAAAATTACTACCGATTTAAGCATGTATAAACACACCAATAACGAAGTTAGCGCTACGATTAAAGTAAAACAAAAGCTAATCAAATGCTCAATGTTTGTATAAATTCGTGAGAAAAAAAAGATTGCTTCCCACAGCATAACTTTACCATTTTTAAGCATAAACTTAATTTTGAAGCAAATATAGAGAAATATCATGTCATTATTGCTCATTTCAGCAAATACTTTTCTAAATTGATCTGAATACCTAAAATTGTTTTAGAATAAATACTTACGATGCTTCTGATTAGCTAAAAGATAGTTTAACATAATATCATTAAACAGTCTTAGAAATTTTGTTTAATTCATCTTAATTTAAAAAGTTTTTACAATGCATGCAATTAGTAAATATAAATAAAAGAAACATAATAAATTATGAATAATCTGTTATTTGCAAGGTGAAATACTGTGTGTTAGAAGTATAATGACTGGTCGAGATGACAATAATTTAAATTTATGTAGCCCATAGCACAAATTTTCTTAATAATGGGGGGATTGGATTGCTGCCTTTCTTTTGCAGGTCATTAAAGTTAGGAAATTAATAGTATTTTCATCACTAATATTTTTTAAAGGTAAAGTGCCAATTACAGGCATCTACTCGCCTGGTATTGCTTATAATGATGTTTTATTACGTGTAAAAGCCATTGCCTTGCATTCCATATAACGACACTTTTTAAGTTAAGTTCCAATTACAGGTATTCCTTGCGGTGATCTTATTTCGTAAGTGCAGGCATCATTGAACTGTATTTCCTATACTGATACTTTTTTTTATCAAATTTTTGTGTTTTTAAATACATTTTGTTATAATAAACTTGTATTTTTTCAGATGTTTAATTTATGAAATCAAAAACAATTTTTTTCTTGTATCTTTTTGGAAAATGACCGATGGGTATCACCTACATTTCTCCATCTGCAGATAGAAATCCAATCGACTCGCTATAAGAAGGCAGCTTAGAATTGCCGATTGATTTATGATCGAAGTAAAAACTGCCAAGAAGTAAGTTTCTCAAAAGCTTGAGTCAATTACAGGCACTTTAAATATGTTTAATACTAATGTCGCTTTGATATTATGACAAACTAGATGTAGGTTAGGTATTCAGTAAATGGATGTGAAAATAGCGAGAATATCAAGACGTAGTGTATTAATTGTAACATGGGTATTATCATACCTGCCAGATTTTACGCATTTGGCGTAAAATTTTATTTCTGTGTTTAAAGTTGTAGTAAAATGTATGCTTTCTATATATTCTTTGCATTTATAAACTTAATTTATAATCTTTTTAATCCACCACTATTTTTAAAAATACTAATCATACATAATAATATGTAATACTGTTTAGATAGTCCGCATAAGCTTGTTGAAAATAAGACGTAAGTTTCTGCCAAAAATTGTAATCTAAATTCCACTTTACTACCACTGGGAAAAATCATCCTCGAAAGGATTAAAAGTTGGCAGGTATGGTATTATGCATGTTGTTTTCAAGTATATGGTTATTTTCATTCAGTATATAATTAATTTTTGTCCCTAAGGCTCATTTTGGTCACGCTGCATTAAATATTTATAAATTTATTTTAAATAAGGAGCTTTCAGAAGAATTCCGATTATATTTTAGGTATTTTTTTAGTCAGATTTGGAGATTCATGAGTGTAACAACAGTGAATAGATGCCAAGGAAAGAGACTTCTTTTCAGAAATAACTGAATAAAGTGCGAATATAAGAAAGAAAATAAATATTTTTTCTGACATCAGAAACTGATTAAATATTATTAAAACCTTAGAAACTTTATGTATTTCAGTTTACAAAAGCATTTGAGTTTGGAAATTATAATGAAAAACTAAAACATGCGACGGTTGGAAATTTATAACTTAGTTTGCGAAGTGATAAACCTATCCTTATCACTTTTTCACTCAGAAAAATTTTGCTCCAATTTTGTCAAAATTACTCAATTATTCTATACATAAAAAATAGCTTTTTTTAATGTTTTATATTGGAACAATCGATGAAAATGCTGATTAATGTAGTATTAAATTCTGCCTTTTTTGCTGAAAAAAGAGACTTCTGAAATTTATAAAGCTTATTACCACAAAGTTTAAATTAAATAAAAAATAAAATTTAACATATACACACCTCCAAGTGCATTAGCAGCTAAAATAATAAAAGTTTTACAAGTAAAGAACAAGAATGTATTTAAAACTGAAATTTGTGACTACATGTATGAAATAAATATGAAATCAAGAAGATCATTTGTAAATCTTTTTTAAAAACGGTTATTGAAAAAGACTAGTTTTACTTACCTCCTCCCAAAATATCTATAAAAATCACAAATATAATTGTAATTAAATGATTTTAAATACTTTTTCATTCTTTAAAATTACGATAAAAATTATTTTATGCCATGTTTTGTTGTCGTATTTACTATCATTTTCTTTAAATATATAGCCAGTGATATTTGTGAATTAATAAAATGCTTAGAATCTTTTTAAATATATTGATATTATTATTAAAAAATTCAACAATATTGGGAGAATGAAACAAAGTTTGCAAGAGCGATATCAATAAATATATTATATATATTTAATTATATAATATATTTATAACTCAATTTTAAATTAATTTAAATCAATTAAATGTTTTCCTAGTTTATAACAGTAATTCATAACAAATTCAAGCATTATAACAAGGACTGTTTGACTCATCTGAATTTTTAAAAAATGTTAGATGTTTTTATTTTATTCAAATATAAACTATATTATCATCGTTCATTTACATTTCTGTTATTAATAGTGTAGTGATAAGCAGTAATAAAAATTTTAGAGCTGTCTTCTTTGTCTTATGAATGTATGAAAGCAGCGATATATTTTGGTTATCTTTTTATCTTTTTTTTAAATTTATACCAGGTAATCAGAAATTCTTAGATACGCAGTATTCTATTTTTCGTTCTTCCTTGCTTGCGTCAGCAATCATCTACCCTCTTTCACATCATTAGTTATGTCTGTGAATCAGTGAATTCCATGAAATCCAAAAACTCTGGGCATTCATGTTACCAATTTCACTTTCAGTTTGTTTGCTTTTTCTTCCTTTTCTGATCTGCTCAGCAGACTTAGTTTAGGACGCCACATTATTTAGTTTCTTTTTTGTGGTTTAAGCGTAAATTTCTCTGTCGCTTTCTGTCTCTTAAATCACTAAATTAAATATTAAAAATAATAATCTTAAAAAAATGTGCTTCTGATTAGAAAATTTTAGAAAACTTTCTTTAAAATAATTGCTGAAAGACACAGAAATCTTTCTTAAAACTAGATAAAATATTTTTGTTTTACATAATTGGTAAGAGATGGTTTAAATTATAAAAGTTATAAAGTATTTGTTGTGGGTCATGGAAGAAAAAAAAACAGCTTTACTTGTGAATATTAAATGAAAAAAACTAATGCCTAACATTGCATAAACATATTAGTTTAAATACTAAGATAAGAATTTTTATATACTTTAAAATAGCAGAGCACTGTTTGAATTTTCATTCTAAAACTATGATAAAGTAACCGGCAGTCTGTTCTTGTAATTAATAGTGAAGTTTACGGAAAAGAACGCTTGTAACTTTTTCAGTTTTGAATACGTTTAAAATTAGTATGGTTAAAAAAACCACGAATCTATAACTATATATTTTTTTTAAATCATTATCAACTAGCATGGTTTCAACATCGTAAAAAATAAATTTAACTGGATATTGGAGCTAGGCGTTTCGTTAGATAATGGATAATAAAGTTAGATTGTTGTTGAGATGCGTTTTCTCAAGTCAACTGAGTAATGGTATTCGATTATTGTAGCTGGTTAATTGACCTATTGAGAATGATGATTGTGAGAGATGGAAAATACTAGAATTTTTTAAGTTGATCAGCTTTATAGTGCGACCATCTATGCTTGAGTTAGAGTATAGTATTCTAATAGCACAGGGTCACAAATTGGAGAGTGCAGGATACTACAAACTCTTCATGTGTTGAAGAGAATGGAGAAAATATTATAGTGTCAACCTTTCTGCTTGACATGATTTTGATAGATTAGCCCTTTTGGCAATAACATGTACCCAGCTGAAAGGAACTGAGTGTCGACATTAGATCAGCTTGGTTGGTTTCATAAAATTATGGTCGTTTAACCATATTAGGGGAAAGCAGTTATTAAACAGTTTTTCTCACAATTTATAGACTGAAAACCATTTTATTTAAACTAAATTGACCTTGTTTAAATTTTTTAAAATAACATTCGAATAAAATGTTTTTTTTAACAATTTTTTCCGAGAAATTTCTAACAGTGTATAGGGAAAGTTATAAAAGTTTAGTTTTAAATATACAGAAAAATTTTTCAAAGAAAATCTTACTCTGTCCTGCCTTGTTCACTGTAAATAATTTTGGAATTTTAACAACATATAGAACAACATAAATAGTGAATGCATACAAATTACAAAGGAATTAAATAATTCAATATTTTAATATTTATTATTTAGCAATCAAGCTGCTTTAATAATTTGAAACATATAAACTATTGAATCATATTGAAAATATAAATATGTAGGAAATTGCTGAAGATATTTAATAGTATACAGTTATAAAAATATCTGAATCGAGGTTTTTTTAATCCTAAATGCATTTCTCAATTATTTTTTACTTTCATTTTTAACTTACACTATACAGTGATTCTATCATTATAAAACATCTTTGTATTTTTATCGTTTTGTGAAATCTTAGCTAAGTTTGAATAATTTGTAATTAACGAATTTCACTTGGTACTAACTTTGGAAAGGATCATATGATAAAGGTGTTTAACGAATAATAGTCAGAAGATTTCTCTTTTTTAATTAATTATATTACATCTTTTATGCAAGTTTATGTTGGAATGTTATATTTGCAATCGTTTTCATTAAAAACGAAATTATATGTTTTTTCACGTAAATATCAACAGCATTATTCCTGTATAATTTAAACAAACTGGATTATACGTTATAGATTCTCAATAAATGCCGTGTGTTTCAAATGTGAAATAACATAAACTTACCGCTGTTGGCAAGTCCTAAAAAAGAAGCAATATTTCATAGTAAATTCATAAATCATCATTTTATTATTGATGTGTTCAAGAAATGAGACATGCGCAAAAAAACTATGTGTTTCTTGCGCATGTAAGGTTTCGAATCATGTATTTAAAAATATATAAACTTATGTGTTAACGAGATAAATTTAATAATTTTACAATTGTATATTTCAATTAACATGCATCTGAAAATAAATATTCAACTTGAATACATAGAGGTATATTCAATTTTCGCAATTTATGTTATCAATGTATGAAATTTGATAGTTATCATATACCGTAATATGGGATAACTTTGAGACTACATGAATGTTTTTATTCTTTAATTTGAATTTCTCATCTAAATTGTACTTCAGAGCTATGATTAGTTTGCAATATATATATACCTGTACAAACTTTCTTTAAAATGGGATGAGCAACTCATTCTAAGAAGTTAGAAACGAAATTCTATGTCACAAGGTCACCAACTGGTATGGAATAACTCAGGGATAACTTATTTTTAATTATATCACATAGTAAACCTCTTTAATATCGTGCATAGACACAATTTTTTAAAGAAAACTGTTAAAATTTCTAAATGTAATTTTTCTATGCGAGGTGAATAAAAAATTTCTAAAATGAAAATTTTATTTTTCATTTTGATTATTATTTCCAACATTATTATAGATCTAAATTATTGTTATTATTAATATTTACATTATTATTGTGATTTCTCTTATCGATTATTATTAATTTTTCGAGGGATTTTCATTCCTGATTCTCAAAACACTACAATTTGGAAGTATTGTCTCAAAAGCATCGTCAGGAGGGCGTTCTAAAACTTTGTGCCCGTTATGAAAATTTTACCTTTTGAGTATTTCACCATGATTCGAGAACTTTTTAAATAAATTGAAAAAAGCTTTCTCACAATCATGTCATTCGTTTATCCAAAGACAATTCTATGCAAAAATAAATTTGTAGTAAATTTTTCTTTAATAATAGTGAAAGGAATTTGAACTGTAACATATACAGCTTTTATATCATTTTCTACTATGTGATTATACATTGCAAAATGCAAAACTTGACCAAAATCGTTTGAATAGTTCTTGAGAAATTAAATTTTTTTGAAACTTTGTACACATGAAATTCGATTTATCATGTATTTTTCGAGTGACTTATAAAATGACTAGCAATTTTTATCGTTTACAAAGTAATAAGAAAGAAACTGAGAAAGCAGTTTAGAGGTTAGAATTTGGCAGTTATCAGGGAACAGTAACTCCCTAGTTCCACTCCATTCCAGAATATTTTTGGAGGGGCATTTTATGATTATTTTTATATAAGTGATGTTCACAATGCAAAGTGCTATTCAGGCAAAATATTATAATCTATTTTGATGCTTGTAAATTACGATAAAAGAAACAGTTAATTACTTTTGTTAGTTTTTATTGAACTATACTGCCTTTTTAGCTAAACAAAATTATCATTTTCTTAATTCAATGTGTCGGTGTTTTTATAAAATGAAAACTCTTTATTCACTTTATCTAGTGTATTTAGCTTTTATTAATAATAATATTAACGAAATGAAAAAAGGAAAAAAGTGGGAAAATTATTTTAAAAAAAACTTCCGTGTAGGAAATACCAGGCGCATACTAATGCCGGCAGCCTACGTTTTGTACCGAGAATTTCTTTTCAAACAAAACTGCTAGAAATCAAGCCAATTATTAGTATTAAATAATCATAATTCTTGGTTTAGTGTACCATTTGATATCTTAATTAGTGTCTACTCTGTAAAAAATCTGGATCAAATTACGGAAAAATATAACCGAATTCAGAGTGCGTGTATTTTTTACAGTAAAACCCATTTTTACCGGGCCTTCTTAAGAAACAAAAATTTTCATATACAGAATTTTTTTAGTAATAATCATTATAAAACCTATGAATAACTGTAATAAAATAAATAATACTTCAAAATATACGTTACAATATTTTAGAGTAGAGATGGATGTCACGGTAGAATGCATTTTATGGAAGATGCACCCAAAAGTTCCTGCACTTTATACCGTAGTTTGTAGTAAATTACCAAGTCTTAGTAATACATCTATCGCCGAATTTTTATCTTGACGCTCACCATTCACATGGTCAATTGCTACTACTTTTTAGTTAACTTTGCAAAAGAGAAAAGTTACCCAAAAATACAGACCTCTATCAATTTTAGTTATTTTGCTATTTTTTTTTATTTTGTTTCTAAACACTAAACAAAATGAACTATTTTTTGCACTATATTCCTTAATAGTAATAAGACATTTACATTGATATTACTTTTTATTGTTTAATTTATATGTTATATTAAATATTTAAAATAAAAATATCAACTTACCAGTAACACCTCCCTCTAGATGATTAAGAAAAATTTTGAGATTAAAAAAAGGGTAATAAAAGGATAATAAGAAACCAAAATCCATTCATAATAAATGAAAAAAATCAAAGTTACTTTCTTTGATATAATATTAAAACAGAAAAAATAACGTTTGAAGAAATCTAATTTCTTCTGCATATAAATGAGTTGTAAGCTCCTACAATGCGAGTTTAATGTTCAGTTTAGCATAAAATTTTGTTTCCTTGTGTACAAATTAGATTGATATTGAATTATAAGATTACGAAGATAAGGTTTGTTATTACGTATGCGTAATTAAAATTACGAAGGAGTGTAGAAAAATGTACAATGAATACTTCTGAATTACAAAAAAAGAAGCTTTTATTCTTTTCAAGTTCATGAACTATGTTTTTATTAAATTTGCTGCAAAAATTACCACTTAATTTTATATCCGTTGAAATGCGCCAACGAAGTTGAAATTTAATCTGTGAAAAGAGCCATTTTCATGCGGGATTTTTTTTATTGTTGTTGCCTTTTTATATACTTTTCTTAAGAACATTTCTTAAAATCTTTAGTTTTCTTTGAGTGTAATTTACGAAATATAATTGTAATTCTCAAAATCTTTATTTTATAGTTTCGTTCTCTACGTGATGACAACAATTTCAGAAAATAATTATCAAAACAAAATTGGAAAAAAATAATTAAAAAGATTAGATGTTGCCAAATTGCACGAATACGATATAAAATGATTGCTATTGTTAACATTAAAAATTTTATATCATTTAATATTTGTTATTGTGATACCATAATTTCCTTGTGTTCCTAAATTTAGAAATTTTAAGTTTAGTTCATTATTTTTAAAATCAAAGTATTTTATTTTTATTTTTTTTTGGATATTAATGCGTTACCAAAATATTGTAACATAAATTATAATAACTATCTCTTTTATAGACAAAATTATATTTCTTTCCGGGAAAAGCTACTTTTTAAGAAAATAAAGAAGAATGGAAGTCAATCACGGGTATTGGTGAGTGGAGTTTTTTCATATTTAAAAATATAATAATAAGTATAATTTGTGCTAAAATTTGTAAATGTAATTTTTTTTTACGCAAATACCATAAAAATCAGTTGCTTTAGATTTTTATCTATAAACTTATCGTTGCTAATATATTTATAAATTTGTTTATCCTAAGTAAATGGAGCAAAGATTTGAAAACGTAATATTTAAATTAACACAGTTTCATTTCATATTTTTAAAAAATGAGTATTTAGTTACTAGTTTAAACTTACGTTGACATTTTCCTGTTTTGCCTCCTTTTCCTCCACCTATGGAAAAATTTAAAAAAATGTTTGTTATTAATGAACAGTTATTGTTGTCAACAAAAATATTATTTTGAGATATCGAATTTTGTTTAAACCCATTTATATTGCTAAAATTAAATATAACATATAATTTTGTTGCATCATTCTCTGATTGAAGTATCTCAGTTCTGGAAACTAAAATGTTTATGAAGTATAAAAGCGTAATAGAAAATAAAATAAATTTAAAAAATAAGGAAACAGAAGCTAAATAAATTTTTAAACTAAAAGAGAACGACAATTTATCTAAATTAACTACTTTTGTTTTAAATTTTAGCACATCTCTTAATACCTTACAGCATTTAAAAAAATTGTAATTTTTTAACTCATTTTTAAGTAAATTAGATGTGACTCATTTTTTTCCAGCAATGAGAATTCAAAATTTAAAATACAAGGAAAAAGTGATTAAGATATTTTCCAATGCAAAAACTATTTAAACTTCTCTTTAAAATTCTTGATCATCAAAATTTTACTAAACCTATTAATTCAAATGCTAAATTAATTTATTATAATTGAATAAACTTTATAGTAAACATCAAGACTTTATCTTACAAATAGTTTTTCTTTCTAACCTATTTTTAGCGGGAAATCAGTTATTTAACTCTACCTCTTTTCTTTTCAGCAGTGAGAGTTCCAAATTTGTATGAGCAAGAGAAAAAGGATTCAGATATTTTCCATGGGAAAAAAAATCTTTACACGACATTTTAGAATCCATAATTATTACAAAGATATTAAATTTATTTATGCAAATCTCAAACTATTTGATTACAATTTAAGAAACGTTGAAATAAACATTTGACTTTAGAGTAAGTATGATATGTTCACTAGTTCTTTGATTTTGTGAAAATTGCACTCATTATTATCAGTAAAATTTATCTTTCATTAAACTGAAACCTTTAGTTTTGAAAATAAAAAGGAATTATTGAACATTGGCCCCTTTGAACATCACATTTTAGTCACATCATTTATTTCTCAATTAAACATATATTTTCTCTTGTTAAATTATATTTGAGAATGTTAGATTAGAAAAAGAATAAGAAATAAAAGTTCAACGAGAGGTATGTAGCCCGAACAGTTTACATGATTCCTGTATCAAATTATTAAGTGTAGGGATAGTTTGAATTTGAATTTTAAATTCTATAAGAAATGGCAAGTGAATCATTTTCAAGTCAATGTAAAATTACATCTAAGTTAATTTTTAAGAGACCTTTTAAATAAGCAAGAAGTGAAGAATCACAAAAATATTTTTTTAAGCTTAACTATTATTACAGTATATCCATTTGTCGTTGGATCAATGGTTTGGAATATTTATGCATACAGCAAATTATATTCATTTTTAGATTTATTATTATTTTGATGAATAAACTTATTGTGAATGGATTAAATGGAATATAAATTTCTTTTTTTAAATGATGAAAAAATTGTTTTTTATAATTTGTATGACATAATCATTTATCTACTAAATGAATGTTAAATGTATAATTCTAATATGATAGTTTGATTTGAAATTGAGTACTGGCAAATGAAACTGCTTCACCACATTTTGAAATTTACAAGACTGATAAAACATAGTATAGTATGTAAGATATGAAATTTTTAGAACATTCATAGGAAGCAGGTGTTAATGGTATCACCAACAGCTAACAGCATTGTTTTAAATTCTCAATTTACATTTGAACTTTATTTTCCGATTAAGAATTTTGTGTAATACCACGCTTAAGAAGAATTTTCTTCAATCACATACGTTATTTTTAATAAGGAAAAAATGGATCCTAATAGGGTTACGGTTTATAGATTTGAATAATTACTACTCGCGTTGGCCGAGATCCCTTAACTGTGCACACAATATGGAATCGATGCGGGTCCAGAACGGTAATCCGAAATGTCATGCTATATTTTAGTGACTTCCTCTACTTACAGCCTAGAAGCAACGCTAAATGGAGTCGCAGAACCACATAATGCAAATTGTGAGTAGGGGAAGTTTAACAAGTTTGAACAAGTTTACTAGACAGTAAACTTGTTCAAACTGTTGGGCAATGTCTAAAATAATATGAGCTACCAATTAGCAAATAAACCTTCAGTTACTCTTGACATTCTATCACTTAAAAACAGAAGCACCTTCAGTGGAGGGATCAACATCTAATCTTTTCCCATGAAGGGTGGCACATAATCATTGCGGTCGAGTTCTGGGACTAAAAGTAGAGCCATGATTGTCACATCCGGGTTTGGCGGCATCATGGAGATTAGATGTATACATGGCTATCGTGATCTATTACTCACTATTACTATGATTATATTGGATGCTCTTTGGTGAGTTGAACAACTCCTGTTTGCATTTCTTGCATTCTGAACCAGGTCATTTCATTTGCATATACAGAAGTTTAAATGTAAAACACATCTGACAAATCAAAAGTAAAGTAACATCATTGCATTTCAATTTTTTGTTTCGAATATTAGATCCGGTACATTATTGAATTACCTTTAACAAATTTCAGTTAGTTTGGTGGTCGCACGGCAAATTTTATCAAGTATAATTACCTCCTTTTGATGATCTGCCGCGTCCGCCTCCTCCTAAAGAAAAGTATTATTTATCACTAAAAAACAAAATATCATTAAAACACATAAATAAAAAAAATCTGGTATAATATGTTTCTTTTATTTTTCTTTCGGAACAATTCATTCATTTTTTGATTGCAAGATTTCCCTTTCCCACACATGAAACTAAATTTAAACTAAGTATTATAGAAAAAAAACTGAACTCACAATGTGAAGTACTATTTTTAATGTAGGAAATTGCAAAACAGCTTTTACATAATTAAGCACAGAAATAAATACTCCTCTGAGACATAGTAGTTCCGTCATTTCCCGCTAATAACATTTGAAGATACTTTATTATTGCCTATAATTAAATTCGCTACATTTTGAAATGTAATAACCTTTTTTTTTACAGATTATTGAAGTCAATTATATTTAAATTCAGTGATTAAGTAATAATCATAAGTGATAAGATAAGTGATAAGATAATAAGATAAGTGAATGAAGCGGAATGAAATTAAGCAAAATGATTTCGAAGGAAATGAATAGGTTCAATTGAATTTTAAGGGTATGTTATTTTAAATATCTATAATGACACTCATATACTAACATTTGTATCGTGAAAGAATAAAAAAATCCATTAAAATATATTTATTTACCTGGAGGTCCTCTACCACCTCCTCCTCCACCTGCTTTAAAAAAAGAATATTTTTCAATTGACATATTAAGAAACATTTTTGAAAATAAAAAAGTTATCAGGTTTTATTATTTCTTTCTTTTTAGGTTATGTTAAATCTCTAAATATCATTATCAATGAACCATATTTTTCAACATTATAGCAATCTAATCAGTATGCAAAATGTGCATTTCTTTCCTGGACAAATAATTCTCTTGCGTATTAATTTTAAACTATCTGGTTTAGTGAGAAAGAAGACAGAAATAAATAAATAATAAGCAAAAAATATACTTTACTTACCACCACCTTTTGCAGCTAAAGTGTTCATGTTTTAATGTATTTACAAATAATTGCAATGACATTAATTTCAGAATATTTATTTATAAATTATAACAGCTTCACAAACATTAATAAACTTATTAAAATGCAATAAAAATACATAAATCAAAAAGCTTTAAAAATAATTGACACTAATCCATTTCAGGATGTGTAAAAAGTCAACAAACTATCATGGGCGCCAATATTATTTCGTTGATTCTGATAACAGGTACTAGTAGCATACGCAATAGATGCTATGCTAATAGGCATCTAACACACTAATATAAGTGCTGCGGCAATTTGATTTTTACATCTCCCCAAATGGATAAGTAACAAATAATTTCAAAGTAAATTATTAAATTAATCCTATTTAAATATAGGTGCAAAATATTGTTCATACTATACTTCAAACTTTATAAATTTCAAACTTTAAAGAAACTCTGAAAGTAAAACAGATAAAAATTGGAGAAAAATGTAGGTGAAAAATAATATATATTGTTTGCAAATAAATAAATTTATAACTAAAATATTAAAATTCACTTTTTCGTAAAAGGATATGAGTGAAAAAATATTTTTATAATATAAGTTTATGGTGTTACTTACTACGTATTTTGTAATGATGAACTGAAAAAAATATATATATTAATAAATTTTGTTTATAATTCTAAGCTCATGCATTAAACATACGGAGATAAAGTCTTTAAGCTATTTGATGTAGGCTTGAAAGATTTATATATTCCTATTATTTTGATATATAAATTATTTCAAATTTTCTTAAAACGCGATAGATGATTTATAGTACAAATTAACTTTAGAATCTTCGACTCGTGCTCAGAATTTTCAGGACACATATTCTGCAATAATTTAATTTGCACTTAAATCAATGAAGATTAAGTCACATCCACAATGAAACATGCAATTATTTTATAAATTATTTACCCTACCATTGAAAGATCGTAAAACTATTTAAAAAAAATAATAATAATGAAAATATTAATGAAGAAATACAGCAGAGTTTTTAAATTTAATGAAAATATTTCACGTTTAATGACTTTGAAGATGTGTTCTAAATTCTTTTAACTAAAAACCGCAACTAATTACTGAACTGTTACAAATTGTATGCTTATTATAATTGCTGTAAGTACTCAAAAAAGTATTAATATTCACAAGATTCTTATTATGGAAATATTGAACTCTTTTAAATTACGATTTCAATAAAAATAGCCAAAATTTTGGAATACTCAAACATCTACTTACCATGAGTTATATATTTTCCAGCTATAAAAATATATAGCTATTAATGTTTGAAATATATATTCAATTTCATTTTTCGCTCTTTATAGAAATCCATCTTTTAATGTAAATATATTTATTTTCAATAGTAAAAGTATAAAATTTTAAATAATGGTAAATAAGATATATGTATTTCATACGTACGCAATTCATATATACATAACAAGATATATTTGAACAAGACATTTAAAAATTCTGCCTGATGAATTGAATATTTCCTCAATCAGTTGGATATGTTTATTTTGATACAAAAAATTTTACTTTCTACCAAAAATGCGAGCTTTACATTTAAAACAATTAGAATATAGTTTGTTTTTCATGTTTTAGCCAACAGGATTGTTTGCTTTCGGAATTCCGAGCAAGCAATCCACTCAAACTTTCTGCAGTTTAGATGCTGATAACAATTTTATCTCTGTTTTTAACTGAGATTAAATAATAAAACTTGATATTGTTGTATACTGGTTAAGCAAAATTCGATGTGTCAAAAAGGAAATACCTTATCAGAATATATTCTGCAGTCACTTAAATTAGTGTTCAAAATTTTTGCTTCTGTCTGAAGATTATGGCTTTTTTTTTTAATTAAATCTACTATATGTATTTTCTTTATTCAAATTAAGAATAATAAAAAAAAGAAAAACAATAAGGAAAAATGATGCCGATTTTAATATCGCATAAAATAGTAATTAATATTATTTAAGTTTTTTAAGGTTACTGTTTTGTTATTGTTGAATTAGATTTGTATTAATTTTTCTTAGTAGCTGAAACTTAGAATTGAAAAACTGAAACGTTAAAGCATTTTTATAGGTTTTATATTAATTTCTACTATTCTATTTTTTAAAATGACATTTTCTACTTACTGACTCTATGAACTGAAATATATATAAAAAGGTAAATAACTTATGCATATAATATGTATGTATGCATTGCATGCATGACACAATAAGTAGACGATTTTTGAAAATATATAATAAGGGTAATTCGCACATTAATTTAAAATCTACGGGTGTCCGAAAGATTGACTAATGGATTTTGAAAATCAACTAGGGACTTCAGAACAGAAATAACTACAATAGATTAATTGCACTGTAACACTGCTCTGTAAATATCTGTGTTATAGATGGTTATATTCCGAAATGATGCATGTTCTAAAGTGTAAGCCATCTTCGAAATATTGACTGAACAAAAATTCGATTGCGGATGACATGATTTCAATTTCTCTAAAGCTCTCGTAAGTCTGCAGCTCCAGTACGATTACTTCTCGGACTTAGGTGATAAAATTGAAGTGAATTTGGTTGAATTTCAGATCCCCAAGCATGATACCAAAAACTCTACATTTTTATACCATCCGTGTTTTATGGTTTTTAAAATTCATCAACCATTTTTGGGACACCAGGTATATACTCCATATGACTCATGATAATGCACTAGATTAATTACAATATGAATTTTTTAGCACTAATCTGTGTAATATTTAACACTGTTCGGCGTATTTTCAAAAATTTAAATTGAAAAAGTTGTTTGATTTGTAATGATAATTGCAATGTACTGTAAATTAAAATATTCTTTTCTTCCGTTTTAGTGAGCCTTGATGATTCTAAAACTAGTATTTTAAAATGAACTTTTTTAAACCATGAATTTATTAAAAATAACAATAAATTACTCTTTGTGACATTTACGGTAAAGAGATTTCTTATTATGTATTTTGTTTAATCTTTACTACTTTTTTAACGTTTAGGTCGCTTAAGCACAAAACAAAATATGTCTGTTAAACGTCATAACATATTAAGTCAACGTAATTCTCTTTCTTAAAAATTAAATAATTTTTTTTTATAATATTAAATATAGAGTCTTAAGAATTTTTGTGGTAAAAAAATTTCTTTTTTTCTTCTTTCTTTTTACAATTGATATAAACTTAAATGATTCAAAAGAAGATAGCAACTACATTCTACATTACCTCCAGCTAAATTAAAAATATAAAAATTAATATGAAGGAAACATTTTTCCTCTAAAAATTTTTTGTCATCATTCAAATGAAGACTATATACTTACGTTCAGGTTCGCCATAAACTAAAAATAATAATTAAAATTCACTATAAAATAGTTAAAAATCAATTACAAAACATATAAATTGGGAATTTTAGGATCTAAGTGAGTTATTTCTTTTATTAAATTTTCAAAAATAAACATAAATTTTGCAAAATTTTCATAAAGATTCATAATTTTCTAAGCAAGATCATGTATAGAAAACAATTTTAAATAAATAAAATAAAAGACTTTTTTTATTTAAAGAAAAATCTGATTTTTGGACATTAATATCTGTTCTCCATTTGCCTTTTAGGGGATAAATTTTTGCTATTTCGTTTTCCTTAGTAGTGCAATAAAACAATTAACAGCCTATGTTTTATAGTCTCACGTACTGGTCAGCTATACCTTGGACAAATTTATTATTTTTTTTATGAAAAACATAATTGCTTAGAAATTTACCTAGATATTTTACTGGAAATACATTTTACGTTTGTTTACTAACATATTTCTTTGAGAACAAATTATGTCAATACCTCTGAGAACAAACTTCTTTTTCATCTAAGAATAATCGGTCAAAAATACAGCATGTTGTTGTAAGTTGGATAATCATAAGCTGTATTTTGGACTCTCGGATCCTCCTTGGAAATAACTGTAATTCTTTGGATAACACTCTTTTAGAGTTCTTTTATTCTTAACTTATTAATAGATAATTTTAATATTCAAATAATCATGACTATCAAAATTTAAACATAATATGAAAATCTATAGATAATTAATATTATTAATTTTAAAGCTCCATTAAGTAATATATAATATATTGTAAGACATATATAATAGTAATATATTGTAAGGCATATAAGTGATTGGAGTCAAAACTATTTAGAAACATAGAACTTTTGAAACAACTTTTTACTGTTAGAAATATTATTAAAGAAACCATCAGTTGATATAAAAATGAAGAAATAGAAATTTTTTACCTGCAACTACAAAGGCAAGAGCAAGCAGAAGTGGAATGGTCCTCATATTTCTGGTTAATATACTGACTATTCAAAGCTTGCTGCGATTGTGTAGCTCTGAGTGTAAAATTTTCCTTTATATACTCGAAATATTTTATATCTTTGAGTTATGTCTATTTTCCAAATGATTTTAAAGCTATATAATGATCGTTTCGGTACATTATTAAACTTTAAATCTGTTTGTACAATAGTAAAATCTATTAATGATTGTCAGCAAATTAGATTCGTACTTAAAACCATAGTTTAATCAGTTGAACATAAACGTTTGACGATGTGATTTAATTGGCTTACAAAAATTGGTTTTGATAACAGTCGATAAAACTTTAATTTGAAACCGCATGTAAACATGTAAACAAATAAACTATTTTATTAATTGCTTCCATAAAATCTGTTATTTGTAAATTATCTTCTATTTTATCACTTTGGTTTCTTGCTTATTAAAATTATGAGGTCGACGACAGACATCTGAACTTTTTATTACGTCTATCCTTAAAATTCTCTTACTATGAAAATATTATATATTTTCCATATGCTATGAAATAATTGAAAGTTTATCAAGAATTTATTTCTTAATTAAAATGCATGAGCCAGTAGGCTAAATTTTTCCTGCAAATTTTTATTAGATACATTTTGCAAAAATTGCTACTTTTTTTAAGTATTTTTTCCTCAATTATGTAGCCAAGTGGTACTCATAGTGGTACGCATCTATGGCATTCGGGTAAATATACAAATTAGTGCTTCGATATTGTGATTTATTGGAAATTTCTTTGACGCAGTATGATTTGTTACATTGTTCTAATTTAATTTAATCGCTTATTGTTAATTTTAGTTCTTATTATTTAATGCAATGCTCATCTATTATGTTAGCTAAATTGGCTACTGTCGTATCGAAATAAAATGGGGAATATACGTACAGATTTCACAATGTTATCTTTTAAGAAATAAATGCAACTGTTTGTGTTGAGAGATAAATTGTTATAAAATTGTCATAAGTAACTTTCAGAAAACATGGAATATTTTCAGTAGAATAAAAAAATATATTTTATGCATGAAAATTTTATGTGCTTAGAACTTTAGATTCCATAAATTTAATTTGCTTTGTCTTATTCAGAGAATACGTCGGAAGCAGTATCTGAAGAGTCTAGATAACTGAGGATATTTAAGAGCTTATTTAAGAACTAGTTTATTTAATGAAATAGTTGAGTATTTTTCTTTCGAATGTATTTTTTAGTTTGCTACTCACAGGAACCAGCCTAACCTTTTTAAAAAATAACTTTACCATGATAAAAATAACGTGAGTAAATTATTTTATGTAATATGGAATTTTGCAATAAAATATGGGAAATTGAAATTTTATAATTCCGAAAATCAAAATATATATATATATATATATAATTTACAATNATATATATTCACACTTTGTACTCAATACTTTAAACGCTATTCATACTCCTTTAAATATGTTAGTGTGAGATTCTATACACTGTACGATGGAATTTCAAAGCTAATGCACGTATACTAAATTCCAAAATAGAAAAGTAATAATACAATACTTCCAAGAATAAGATTATTTTAAATAAACCATGAAAACCAAAACAGACATAGGTTGAATATCTTTTAAGTTATTTATAGTTAAAGTCATTTCTAGTTAGCTCAACATTTTATTTCCTAGAAAGATCGAATGAATTTTAGAAATATCTGCTGCATATATGTTTGTAAAGCTAATTGCTCATCCTTCAAAGCTCCTGATAACAGAAAATAATTTTAATATTTTTTTAAAGAAAAAAAAACTTTCAAAAAAGGTGAAGAGGTTGATTTTGAGAAAAGTTCTTTATTCTGATGCTTATTCAGACACGCTTACATTCTCCCTTCAGATATTTACTTCTTTTTTTACACTTTCTAACTGATTTTTTAGCTATTAACTAAAGTCGATTGTTTTCTCATTAAATTTTACTGCAAAACGGAAATTATTTTAATGCAAAAGTTCAATCGCGCTTCATACTAACGGAATAACAATGTGCTATACAAGGTAAAAAGATCAATAATAAAAAAAGGGGGAGTTTGTCCTTTTGCCGATCTAATTACTCCAGAATTGCTTATGCTGACATCTTGAAACTTATAAAGTGTGTACCAGAGGCAATTTTAATCCTTGATCTCAAAAATCTTTCCAAAATTTCAGAGGTGTTAACAAGATTAGGAGTATTTGATGGATGTTAGAAATTTCTAGAGGGAAGTCATCGAAATATATGGAGGAAATCAGTATTGAGTGTACATTAAAATTCATAAATTGCAAGGTTTGGCACTGAAGAATTGATTAAAATTGTTGACTTAATTATGTTATTGAAATTGTTTGCTTTTTCTCAATAATTAAATTAAAATACTGCTTATGAAAATCAAGGTTTAAACTTTTAACAATGTCATGATATTTTTACAAATTTGAGACATTTGTGTCGCAATGGTGCTCCCAAATTTTGAATCAAAAGCCGATATATCCTTAGACCTAGACATACATTTAAAATTGAGGGAAAAACGATAAAAAATAAATCAGCAGGATTTTTTTATTTAAGAAATTTAAAATATACTGTATAAGTGTACTACTTAACATAAAAAATGTACGAAGTATTTAAAGTGTACTACTTTTCTGTCACTTTGAAATCAATCTATAAAGAAGTTTTGAATACATATTTAGGTAAAATTATTTTTGCAATTTATAAGTTTTCTCATTCCTCTTTCTTATTTAAGAATACAAAAGACTTAAGATTTTCACTTGTTAATTTATACAATATAACTCTCTGGGTTAAATTTGAGTATTGCTTTTCTCAGTAAAATGAGCTGTGACGCCTGCAATGGATTGCTGGTTAGTCCAATTACATTTATAAACGACATAATTTATTTCACGTTTTTTAATAATAAGAAGAAGAGTAATACTCAATTAAATATTCTTTTCAAACTGCAAAGTTATATGTTGAGTTTAATTTTATGCAATCACTTAAAAATAATTGCTTGAAAATTGTTAATTGCATGAAAATTGACATAGAAATATTTTTAATAAGGTAAATATTTTTAATAATTTAATATTTTTAATAAATATTCTTAATTTAAATATTTATTTATATATATTTTTGATAACTGAAAGTTATGAGGAGGTATCATGACAAAAATATTAAAATAATTAAAACAGAAAAAAATATTTATTAGTATTATCTTGTTCTTAAACGAAGTTCAAAAAATAATTCGAGTGATTTTCTTAAACTTCATCTAGAATGAATTATTTTACGTCAACATTTAGGTCAGTATGAGCCGGGTGCGAAATTCGTATCTACCAGAAATCGCTTGAATTCGAACCCGGTTTACGTCTTTTGAAGGCGAATGTTCCTTCCTTTGAGCCATCACGGCACTCAGTAAGATATTGGAATAAACTGACGTTGGGAATAATGAAAGATATTGTTAAACCATGATAACTGAAGGGATGAAATTATGGAGAGTTAGGAAAACACACTACCTTGAGAAGCTTAATCAATCCTTTTCCGTTAAAATCATTTCGTTAATATATTTTTAGAAAACTTATCAAAATTGAAGGTAAAAAAAAGTATGGCTTATGAGGGATAGAAAATTAATATTCGAGGAGGAAAAAAAAGAACATTACTGGAATCTGACAAATAACAATTCAAGAAAGGTAGTGTGCAAAAATTCGATTGATGGTGAGGGAATACAAAAAAGATTTAAAAGACAATTATTAGAAACACCTCAAAGTTTTAAGCGAGAGAAAGATTTTTTTGCTTACCAGCCTACCTTAATTATCATTTCTTACATTGCAACAGCGTTTTTTTATAGCTCGACAATAGCTTTCGGACCGATAAAATGAATACTTTTCCTCTTCAATTTTAATAAGGTTCTTCCCATCTTAGTAAAAATTTAAGCTCAATATTTAATGATTTTTTTTTATCAGAGATGAAGTATTTATAAGATAAATAAAAAAATAAAACATTGTTGCACACCTCTTGAAACATCCGATAATAATTCTGAATTAATTAATTAATCTAGATAATACGAAACACTTTGTTAATTTTTGAAAGAAAAAAAAACTACATTGAACTTAGTCTGGTTTACATGCATTGCTGCGAGCTTGCTAAAAAGTTCTTGATGAGAAATTAATTATAAATATTTTTAAGCCAATTCATTGAAATATTTTTTATAATTAAAAATTAAAGGGGAAGACTGGTCTATACCCAAGAAGGCTTATTTTGCAGATAAAAAAGGAAAAATAACGAAGTTTGCAGCTCATTTTTACAGTGTAATAACTGTCGAAGGGAACCAATTTTCCAAGTAATTGATATTGCAGAGCTTAGTAATCCTCAAAAAGCTGCAGATGACCACCCATTCATCATTTTTTTGTGAAAAGTGTATGTCGACGCTTTTTGCCCTCCTCATCTTCAATTGTCAAAGTGTGTGCCAATTCCAATTGTGAGTATGTAGAATCTTCTGTCAAAACTTTAAGATGACAACAGATAGTTGAAAAATATATTTATTCTGAAGAGTTCTTTACACAAAAAACCTAAATAACCTTATTTTTTATAATGCTTTATTAAATTCCTCATAAATATTTTCATATTAAGCAAGAATACCTACTGGTATAACCTTAAATCCATTGTAAGAAGCTTATTTCTTGGCAATCCTTTTTTTCCTCATTTACTCTGTACAGCGGAAAATTTTAATAAATATTATATTTATTTTAACATCAACTACAATAAATTGGAGATCTTCACCTTATAAAACATAAATAATATTTCAAATATTATTTTTAAAATTAAAACCTAAATATTATAGAGTTATTTTATTTAAGAAGTCTTATATTTGCAAATTTTGAATTTTTCTCCATTTGAAAAATAAAATATTCTACTTTTCTTACGTCTGAACGGATCATTTCTTTCGAATTCTGCAAAAGTGTGAGTAAAAAGAAATAAGTTCAATAATTGCATTTTTTAAATGCAGAAAACACACTTTGAAAATAGTCAAACAATATTTTTGTAATTATTTCTTGAAATATTAAAATTATCTTTTTCTTGAAGGAACCTCAATGCAATAAAAATAAACAAAAAGTGAGATGGCGGTTTTTTATAAATATATTAAATTGTTCATGTCTGCGCACTAAACAAATAAACTAAAGTTCATAATTTGAGCAAAAAGTAATTAAGGAGATTATCTCCTAAATGTTATTTTTATTGGAAAATATTTTTGTAATAAATTAGCTAAATTCAAGAGATTAAGCAAGATAAATAATTTGCCTCAATAAGCCTCTTTAAATAGGTTGATTTATCCCATATGATTTGTTTAACTAGATACGACAACTGTTGCAAATTAATTACTTTTTTTAATTTTGTGATGCGTCTATTTGTGTATTCTTATTTTTTAACTTAAGTGTAAGCCAATTTATAAAAATTAGCAATTGTATCGAAGATAATGAAGGATTATTTTTTTATGTTTCATCTACCCAACATAAAATAGTAAAACTTGCACCAGATACTACATATTTGGGCATGAAATTCCGTTTAGATAAAGATAAGTATAATATTTTATGATTGTCTCAGACGTGTCAATCTTATAAAATTTTTGAATACATTATGAATTTAATACCAATACCACTAGTATTTTTCTTAAAGTGCTTTTAGCACCAATGATACATGTTGCTAGGCACAAGTCATCAGAAAGATTCTATAGTTGACTGTAATATTCCAGCTATCTTAATTTCATTTATCAGGATTCGGCCTTACCGAAGCATCGCTTTTGCTTGCATATTTGCAATGTACAAAAAATTCAAAGAAAGCAACACTTTATCATTGACACTGATAACCTTCCTCAGAATTTCATGCTTGATTTGTCATTATATTTATTATAAATTTCGTAATTATATGAACTTAATAAAAATAATCTTAGAAATTTGCTACAAACGCAACTTTAAACAATATTAGATGTAGAGTTTCGCAATACTGGAAACTATCATTTATATTTTTAAATTTCATGCACCAAATATTTTATAAAATCAGGTGAATCAGATGGCGGTTATTAGTTGATCGATTTGAATTCAAATTCCGCTTCGCATCGACTACAGTGCTGCTTTTACATATCTTCAGTGATAGATGGGTATTGAGTTAGAACCTCAATAGCATCTAATAAACATTGGGTTTTTGCAGTTTTCTACTCAATGTGAAGCAAGTACGGATTAGTTCCAAGAAAAAGAGTTTCAGGAATGCTAATTTTATAAAGGATGATCCAGGATTATCGTCGGGGTAGGGTCCAAATGTCAAAGTTGCGTATTTGAAAATCGATACCCGCAAATACGAAATTGGGCTGTATGTTCAACGCCGAATATAAAATAATATCGAAGTTTAAATGAATGAAAGTTAGGTACAGAAATCTTTAATTTTAATTTTACTATGCAAATTCGTACACTTACTGACTTTATGGACAAATATGAAAAAAATTAAAATCAGTACAGTAATAATGAATGACAGAGTTATGCCATTGTTTAAAGAGTTATAATAAATAAACATTAGTTATTGTACTGAAATAAGTTGTTATAATTCTGTATAATAAAATAATATTAATTTTGATTTAATTTAAATATTAATTTTGATTTAATTTAAATATTAATTTTGAATTAATTTAAGTTTGATACATGGAGACTACCTATCCTGAATCTCCATTAACCACTCATAATTATAAAAAAAATTTTTATTTAAGGCCAAAAATATATAGTAATTCTGACGCAAACTTTATAGAAGTACTAAATTTTATTAATTTCTATTATGGGTCTTATTTAACGTTCAGTATTTGTTTTCCGGAGTAGATTTCTTTTAGCGATGTAAATGAATTAACCCAAAAATATCTACCTCTTATCGCAGAAAGATTTTGCATCACCAAATTTAATTTTTATGAAATATAACAAAAGCATTAAAGTTATCTAGAAATATCTAGTCATTAAAGATTTGTTTATACAGTTAAGAAGTACATCATTAAGTGACGTTTTACTTGGTGGTAATTTGATCAGTTAGGGACATATTTAATAAAGTTTGAACTCATAGGTTTACAAGTATTTATTTCGATTTTGATATTTGTTTTAAAATTCGATAGAAAACAACTTAATTGCTTGTTGTTTTTTTTATCAAATATATCGCACATCTATCTTTATTACTCTATTTTATCATGTTTTTTACATCGTCAGAATTTTATTAATTTGATTTACTATTTATTCAGGAGTAGCTATAAAAACAACCCTGATAACTGCGATAAAAACAACCCTTACAGAATCTTTTTTAAAAATATTAAAGCTTGAATTTCATCTTTGTAATAATAAATATTCCTGCATTACTATTCCATGACGGTAGTATGAAAGTAAGAATATTTTCAAAATAAATTAAAATGCTAAAAAAGTATGTTAAAATGCAAAAAAAAAGAAAATAAAAACATTTTGAAAAGTTATTATTATCCTTCTAAAAAACTAAGTAAAAGTTTTGTGCTATTTACGCACGGGTACTTATGTTGTGCTACTATGTGAAGCTTTACGTTATGTAAGATATTTTTGTTAGTCTCAGCTTTCATTAAAAATTTTCGTAAAATTTTAAATTTAAATTTAGCTTCAAAAGCACTCGTTTATAGTTTTTTTTAAAAAGATTTTTAGTTTTTAATGCTAGTAAGGTAAAATATTCCTAAAATGTTAACTTTATCGTTTTAATTAAATTTATGAAATACAATGTAATATTCATCGTAACATGTGATAAAAAAAAATACCGTTCAAATTATTAGTGAAGCCTTTTAACTTTATCGATTCACAATTACACTGCAGTTATTAAATAACATATCAGTAATGCGGGATAGATAAGCAAAAATTGAGTAAATTCATAAATACTAAAGCCAGCTGCGTCAGAAATCTAGTGTACATGAAACAAAGTAATTACATTTATAGCAGCGGCACAATGGGGGTAATTACCATGCAGTTAAACATTACATATGTATGAGTGTTAATCTTGTATTGAAAGTCTCATTTCCGAAAAAAAAATTTTGTTGCAAAAACAATAAATATTGCTACGCGTATATGTTATTCATATATGTTATTTAATAAATGTTAAATACTCATTATTAAAAAGAAATTAGCATCTGTTTTAGATTTAAAATGTTGTTATGAGGAACGATTAATAATTTTCAATGAATTCAGCAAGAAATATTTGTGCCTTCTTTGAAATTATGATATTGAAGTTATCCTATAAATGTTAAGATAAAGAAAAAAATATTAAATTCACGCTAGTGTTTTTTAACTATTAAATCTGAGAGAACTAGAACGCTAATGTAATTCTAATTAATGTGCAGTCTAACTCTTTATTGATATAGTTATATCAAATACTCTTGGAAAGCATATTGAACGAATGCTTAATAGCTGTATAATCGCTTGATCCCTTTGCAATTGCTTACAGAGTGAAAAATGCAGTGAGAACACCATATACGGTTCAATAATAGCCTTTTGTTTTAGTAATAATAAATTCTAGAAAGTTATGAAACAACCTGATGCGTAATAGGAAAGTTGAAATAAAACTAAACTATTATAAATGATAAAACTGTTTTAAAATCAAGTAAGATTAAAAGAAAAACATATTACACATATTGAAATTGGGAAGGAAAAAAATTCTTCTCAAAACTTTGATGGTACAAGAAGTACAACATTAAGAAATACAAAACAATTCAGTAAAAAAATGTCATGTATAGATCCTGATGAGACAAAAAAATGCAATATAAGTGTTTGTATTATTTTTAAAACAATCTATATAAATATTTTCAAATGTATGCATAAATATTTCGTTTCTATGTATAAATATTTGGAAAATAAATTTTAAATATATTCTTGTTTATATTCTTTTTAAATATATTAAATATATTTTCAAAATCAACAATGTGTAATGACTTGTTTTTAGTGAAGCAGAAAAAACATATATATATATATATATATATATATATATGGGTCATTCTCACGAAAACAGTCATTTTTCAGTTCATAAAATCCCAAAAAAGTAAAGTGAATAAAAAGCTCTGAAACTTTTTATATTAATAGAAATATGTAATGGCATTATAAAGAAAGTATATATCCTATAAATTATACTTAATAT